GGAGGAGGAGGAGGAGGAGGAAGAGGAGGAGGAGGAGGAGCCTGGGGAGCCATCAGAGTCAGAAGGAGGCTCTGATGAGCTACACTACAGGACTTACACACTGATGAAGAGGCTGGCCCTTCCACTCGTGAGAGCCAGCTGTGCTGGGAAGTGGAGTCGGACTTGGAAGAAGCACAGCTGGAAGAACTCAGAGACGCTCGTAAACGCAGGCAGGCCACACGAGTAGTTCAGAGGGAGGCAATGGGGCAGCTCCAGGGGAAGAGGAGAAAGCAGTGAGAAGCCACGCCTTGGGGGGCTGTGTAACAAAAAGGGAATGTGTGGGCAGGGCTGGTTGCTGGAGCCAACCATTTGCAAAGAACTTCAGTGTCAAGAGATCCTGGTCTGTTTGTTTTGCCTGTGAATTATTTCTTGTTTTGACTCATGCTCTGTTTTGCTTTTGAACAAACTATCTGTTGGAAAAGTGTTCTGTTGCTTTTGTTTTGTGGGGAAATGATCAGAACTGTATATCAAACAAAAAGGGTTGGTTTTTCCAGCCTACTATTAAAAGAGGGGTTGTCTTGTGAAGTAACAAGGACGTACCTAGGCTGGGACAGAACACATAAGAAGGCCTAGTGGGGTGCCCCAGGGCTCTGTTCTGCGCCCAGTGCTCATCAACATCTTCATCAACGATTTGGACGAGGGGATAGATGGGGAAATCATCAAATTTGCAGATGACACCAAGCTGGCAGGAATAGCCAACACTCCATAAGACAGGCTTAAGATACAGGAGGATCTGGACAGACTTGAACACTGGGCACTATCTAACAAAATGAAATTCAATGGTGAAAAAAGTAAGGTTCTACATTTAGGCAAGAAAAACCAAATGCACAGGTATAGTATAGGGGGTACCTTGCTCAATAGTAGTAACTGTGAGAGGGATCTCAGAGTCCTAGTGGACAATCATTTAAATATGAGCCAGCAGTGTGCTGCAGCTGCCAAAAAAGCCAACACAGTGCTGGGCTGCATTAACAGAGGGATAGAATCAAGATCACGTGAAGTATTAATACCACTTTACAATGCCTTAGTAAGGCCACACTTGGAATATTGCCTCCAGTTTTGCTCACCATGATGTAAAAAAGATGCTGAGACTCTAGAAAGAGTACAGAGAAGAGCAACAAAGATGATCAGGGGACTGGATGCTAAAACATATAAGGAACAGTCGCTGGAATTGGGTATGTCTAGTTTAACGAAGAGAAGGACGAGGGGGGACATGATAGCAGTGATCCAATATCTCAGGGGCTGCCACAAAGAAGAGGGAGTCAAGCTGTTCTCCAAGGCGCCTGAAGGCAGGACAAGAAGCAACGGATGGAAACTGATCAAGGAGAGAAGCAACCTAGAACTAAGGAGAAACTTCCTGACAGTTAGAATAATTAACCAGTGGAACAACCTGCCTCCAGAAGCGATGAATGCTCCAACACTGGAAGTTTTTAAGAAGAGACTGGACAGCCATTTGTCTGAAATGGTATAGGATTTCCTGCCTGAGTAGGGGGTTGGACTAGATGACCTCCAAGGTCCCTTCCAACTTGATGATGATGATGATGATGATGATGATGATGATGATGATGATGATGATGATGATGATGATGACGACGACGACGACTTTGGGGAATGAGAAATAGCGTAAGGGCCGCATTATTTCCCATTTTCTTTTTTTTAAGAAATACAAAATACAGTTACAACCTCAACTTTTTTGCTTGGCACGTTTAATAGGTTTCCTGTTAGCAACGACATTGTCTACTAGATGACAGGAATAACCTCCTTCCATAATTTCAAGGTGGGAGTAGATGCGATTCATGCCCTTTTTGTGATGACTTGACGACTCACGCATTGCCGTTTGCTCCCCACGGGGATGCCAGTGGCCAGAAGAGTCGGCTCAACTCATTTGTAGAGAAACTTCCTAAACAGCTTGACGGGAATTTTTATCGCAGTCCAAATTTCCAGGCAGGAAAGCGAACAACGAACGTTCAGCGAAAGGTCAATGGAAAGGGAAGGGAATCCGAACAACTGGAAAAGATCCTGTTTTTAGAAGGATGAGGTAGTAATTGTGAAAAGGCACCTAGGACTGAAACCTCAGATACTGTATATATCTAGAGAGTGTGAGCTCCAGGAGAGGGGAAAAAAAGCTCCTATAGATCCTTACCAATCCAACATGGTTAGTGAACGTATTTTCAGGGACATCCAGGAACATACCAGCGCGTACATGACATAATGCAAGTCCTTCACAGACACAAATCCCTCCTTCCACTCAACTGTCCAACTTCGGCTAACATCAACCCAACTTGTTGCTTCTTGATATTTCAATGTCTATCAGGTTTCTCCTTCATTCCTACAGACCTCTCCCTCCCGTTGCTACTTGTTGTTAATTGCGAAGTCATGTCCGACCCATTGCGACCCCATGGACAATGTTCCTCCAGGTATTCCTGTCCTCTACCATCTTCTGGAGTCCATTTAAGTTCACGCCTCCTGCTTCAGTGACTCCATCCAGCCACCTCATTCTCTGTCGTCCCCTTAATAATAATAACAACGATAAAGTTGGAAGGGACCTTGGAGGTCATCTAGTCCAACCCCCCTGCTCAGGCAGGAACCCTAAACCATTTCTTCTATTGCCCTCAATCTTTCCCAGCATCAGGCTCTTCTCCAGTGAGTCCTTCCTTCTCATTAGGTGGCCAAAGTATTTGAGTTTCAACTTCAGGATCTGGCCTTCTCAAGAGCAGTCAGGGTTGATCTCCTCTAGGACCGACCGGTTTGATCCCCTTGCAGTCCAGGGGACTCGCAGGAGTCTTCTCCAGCACCAGAGTTCAAAGGCCTCCATTCTTTGGCGCTCAGCTTTTCTTATGGTCCAACTTTCACAGCCATACATTGCAACTGGGAAAACCATGGCCTTGACTATACGCACTTTTGTTGGCAGGGTGATGTCTCTGCTTTTTAGTATGCTGTCTAGATTTGCCATAGCTTTCCTCCCCAGGAGCAAACGTCTTTTAATTTCTTGGCTGCAGTCCACATCTGCAGTGATCTTGGAGCCTAGGAAGATAAAATCTGTCACTAATAAAAAAAAAACATACTACCTAGTTATTAGCTTATTAGGTAGTATATGGGGTTGGTTTCATGATTGCAAAACCTCATACCTTCATTGTAAGAATTACAAATCCCTGTGCAATAGAATAATTACTTGGTTTTTTGTTAAACTGAAGTTAGAGAGCAAGGCTGCAATCCCTTGCATGGCTAACAGATGGCAGCTAAAAGATATCGATAAGCGTTTGCTGCCATCTAATGGCCATTCAAGGCTTTGCAGCCCGGGTCTATATGGTCTTAACTTCTCAGTCAACTGGGGGATTCTGGGAGTTGAAGTCCACATATCTTCAAGTTGCTAATTTTGAACAACACTGTCATAATTAAAGGATTAATTAGGCCCTGTGAGAAAAGCAGACAGAAATCTTGGGGAATTTAGAGGGATAAGGTTTCAAGATTTTTTAATAGTCCAACAGGGCAAAAAGAAAGAAAGAAAATAGATATCAGCAACCTTTTAAGAAAAGATAAGCAATCATTCTGTAATTAAGCAAGTTGATTAGAGAGCAACTGTAATGTATTGTATGTATTTTCTCAGATGATATAATTGTTGTTGTTAGTTGCGAAGTCATGTCCGACCCATCGAGAACCCATGGACAACGTTCCTCCAGGCCTTCCTGTCCTCTGCCATCTTCTGGAGTCCATTTAAGCTCACGCCTACTGCTTCCGTGACTCCATCCAGCCACCTCATTCTCTGTCGTCCCCTTCTTCTCTTGCCCTCAATCTTTCCCAACATTAGGCTCTTCTCCAGTGAGTCCTTCCTTCTCATTAGGTGGCCAAAGGACTTGAGTTTCAACTTCAGGATCTGGCCTTCTAAAGAGCAGTCAGGGTTGATCTCCTCTAGGACTGACCGGTTGGATCGCCTTGCAGTCCAGGGGACTCACAGGAGTCTTCTCCAGCACCAGAGTTCAAAGGCCTCAATTCTTTGTCTCTCAGCCTTTCTTATGGTCCAACTTTCACAGCCATACATTGCAAATTGCTACTACACACATGTAAAGATAACAATCTCCTGTCCATCATGCCTGAAAGCTAGTAATTTTATGGGCGTATCCATTTGGTTTTGCCATTTGTTGTCCGGTCGCTAAGTGGTGTCCAATCCTTTGCACCTCATGGACCACAGTACATCAGACCCCCCTGTCCTCCATTGTCTCCCAGAGTTTGCCCAAATTCACATTCATTGCGTCAATGGCCCTTTCTGACCATCTCATCCTCTGCCTTCAATGGGTTCGCCATGATCTAGGTCTAATTTATTTTCCTATTTTTCTTTTTTCATGCCTTAGTCTAGCCTACAACCCTGGGATTTCATGGTGGAGTCCCCTTCAGCTGCTAAGCAATTTTGCCTGGGTAGGCTTCTTCTCTTAAAGCTTCACTGGGTGCTGCTGTTTAGCTGGGTCTTCAACCAGGTGCACTGCTGTTAACAGGACTCTTCCAACGGCATCAGTGTACTTTATGGTTTATTTGTATTCAGAGTTAAGGATTTTTTTAAAAAACCCACAATATTATGAATGCAAAGCGGAGTGAAGAGTCCGTTGGCCTTGTTACTCTAAGTTCAGAAAAAACAAACATCTTTTCAAATACTGTCTGAACTTAGTGTGTGTATCAAATGCACCCCCCCCAAAAAAAATGCTTCACCAGGAATCACTGATGTAAAGTTGCCAGGAGATACTACACAATATTTTGCAAATGATCCAGTTCAGTACAGATCCAAACTTGCCCTGCAGATTCCCCAATTTAAACATCACAACCGTATACTTTTCTGGCTAAAAGCTGCAACTTTC